GGTAGACAGATAGTTTGAAAAGATATCTTTGATATATTGGTTTTATATTTGGAAACAACCATGGGTTTTTTTTGTTTTTGTTTTTTGTTTTTAATAAAACACTACAGAAGGAATGAGAAAATTGTGTGTTAAAGAAAAGGGGACCTAATTTAAAAATAGAAGTATCAAGGTAGATAAACTTATGAATGGCAGATTCATTGAGTGGGAATAAGGGAAGTACAAGGCGGTGAGGGGTATGTTTTCTGCCTTGAGGTTGAGACAATCATATCTTCCCCTAATTACCATACTGAGTATATTTAACTTTGTCCAGCTTTTTTTTTTTTGAGATGGAGTCTCGCTCTATCGCCCAGGCTGGAGTGCATTGGCGCAAGGTCTCACTGCAAGCTCTGCCTCCGAGGTTCATGCCATTCTCCTGCCTCACCCTCCCAAGTCACTGGGACTACAGGTACCTGCCACCATGCCCGGCTAATTTTTATATTTTTAGTAGAGATTGGGTTTCACCATGTTGGCCAGGCTGGTCTCAAACTCCTGACCTCAGGTGTTCTGCCTACCTTGGCCTCCCAAAGTGCTGGGATTACAGGCGTGAGCCACTGTGCCCAGCCCACATCATCCAGCTTTTAAGTGATGACTGTGGTTTCAGTTTATTCTACTTAGGAAATATAATTTAATAATAATATATTAAAATGAGATTTTTTTTGAGAGATCTAAAAATCGATTATATAATCCATTTCTTTGTAAGAAGAGCAATTTGAAAAATAGTTATATTTTTTAGCACTATACTCATGATAGTGGTTACCTATAATGGGAAAGGAAGGGGATAGTAAGAGGAGATGCGATCAATTTGTGTTTTTTTTTTTTTTTTTTAAGACAGGGTCTTGCTCATCACCCCGGCTAGAGTGGCAAGATCTTGGCTCACTGCAACCTCCACCTCCTGGGTTCAAGCAGTCCTTCCACCTCAGCCTCCTGAGTAGCTAGGACTACAGGTGTACCCTACCACGCCCAGCTAATTTTTTGTGTTTTTGCTAGAGACTGGGTTTTTGCCAAGTTGCCCAGGCTAGTTTCAAACTCCTGAGCCTCGAACTCCTGAGCTCGCCTCTGCCTCCCAGAGTGCTAGGATTGCAGGCATAGCCACCACACCTGGCCAATAATGTTTTATTTATTAAATTGGATGGTGGGTTCGTGGGTATTTCTTTTTATTGAGACAGAGGCTCTGTTGCCCAGGCTGGAGTGCAATGGTGTGATCTTGGTTCACTGCAACCTTTGCCTCCTGGGTTTAAGCAATTCTCCTGCCTCAGCTTCCCGAGTAGCCACAGACGTGCACCACCACTCCCAGCTCATTTTTGTATTTTTAGTAGAGATGGGGTTTCGCCATGTTGGCCAGGCTAATCTCAAACTCCTGACCTCAGGTGATCTGCCTGTGTTGGGCCTCCCAAAGTGCTGGGATTACAGGTGTGAGCCACTGTGCCTGGCCATGGGTATGTTTAATAAAGTTCTTCATACCTTTTTGTAGGCTTTAAATATTATAAAATAATTCTGCAACTTTTTATTACATAAAATGTTAAACTTACGCATACCCTTCACTTAGATTCAGCAGTTTTTAACTTTTTGCTGTGTGGGGTTTTTATCTCTACATCTGCATATCTATATTTATATACATACTTTTTTCCCCTAAACTCTTTGAAAGTAAATTTCAAACATGATGACATTTCATGCCTAAATATCACAACATTCTTAAGAATAAGGATGTTCTTTTATATAACCATTACTATTTTCTTAAAGACCGTGATAATTAATTCTATTACATGATAATTAATTCTATTATGTTAACCTAATATCCAGTCTGTATTCAGATTTCTTTAGTTGTCCCTAATACGTATGTGTTTGACAGTAGTTTTAACTATTGTATAATAAAGGCTCACATACAGCGTTTGTTTTTTTTTTGAGATGGAGCCTCACTCTGTTGCTCAGGCTGGAGTGCAGTGGCGCAGTCTCGGCTCACTGCAAGCTCTGCCCCCTGGGTTCATGCCATTCTCCTGCCTCAGCCTCCCGAGTAGCTGGTACTACAGGCGCCTGCCACCATACCCTGCTAATTTTTTTGTATTTTTACTAGAGATGGGGTTTCACCGTGTTAGCCAGGGTGGTCTCGAACTCCTGACCTTGTGATCCATCCGGCTCAGCCTCCCATAGTGCTGGGATTACAGGCGCGAGCCACCGCGCCTGGCCATCATTTGGGTCTTTTTTTTTTTGAGATGGAATCTCACTCTGTCGCCTAGGCTGGAGGGCAGTGGCACAATCTCGGCTCACTGCAACCTCCGCCTCCTGGGTTCAAGCAGTTCTCTGCCTCAGCCTCCCGAGTAGCTGGAATTACAGGCATCCTCCACCATGCCAGAGACGGGGTTTCACCATCTTGGCCAGGCTGGTCTGGAACTCCTGACTTTGTGGTCCACCCGCCTCAGCCTCCCAAAGTGCTGGGATTACAGGTGTGAGCCACCATGCCTGGCCCAGCATTTGGTTGCTGTGTCTCTTAGTCTCCATATGGAATCTTCCCCCCACTGTTTTTTGATACTAACTTTTTGAAGAGTCCAGGCCAATACAGTTTTCTGTTGCCCTTTTATTTTACCTTTGTCACCTGATTTCTAAGAATGGACTGATATGATTCTCTTAATTATATCTTGCAGATTATTATTGTCTAATTATTTTGAGAGTAAAACTTGTTATTCTTTAAATACATGCTCTGTTTGGCAGGTAGGTATTATTTAGAGCTCTTCCTGCTTTATTCATTTCCAGTTATATTTAAGAATGTAATGATGATATGCACATTTGATTGTTCATTGTTAATGTTGCTTAAGAAAGTGTTGTTGTTTTTTTTTTTTTTTTTTTGAGACAGAGTCTCTGTCAGTGGTGTGATCTTGGCTCACTGCAAGCTCCGCCTCCTAGGTTCACACCATTCTCCTGCCTCAGCCTTCTGAGTAGCTGGGACTACAGGCGCCCGCAACCACGCTCGGCTAATTTTTTTGTATTTTTAGTAGAGACGGGTTTCACTTTGTTAGGCAGGATGATCTCGATCTCCTGACCTTGTGATCTACCCGCCTCGGCCTCCCAAAGTGCTGGGATTACAGGCATCAGCCACCGCGCCCAGCCAGAAAGTGTTGATTTACTTAGGGTATAGTCAGAATGATTCATTTCAAATTTAGTGGCATGTAAGGGATATCTGTTTAACCATAGGAAAGATGGGGTATAAGCAATTCAAATAAATTCCAACGATTGAATTAGTATTGGCAAAGAACTGAGTTTATTTTTTGGATTTGACAGTAGCCTGAGTAGCTCTCTGGTTACTTCATATATTTAAATCAGTTCCTGTCTTTCAGCTGTGACATAAATTTTTACTGGCAGGGCACTCCATTTGTTATATTTTCCTAACAGTCTTTATAATAATGAAAAATCGGTGAGTCATTTAAAATAGCCTTAATGAGATTTAATTTTCTTAAAACAATTGTTAAATTTTAATGGCAAAATAGTGCTTTCAGATTAGTCTGGTTATGGAGAAAAAAACTTTAAAATTTTTTTGTATAGACAAGGATGTACATGGTGAAAGTCATTTCTGAAGTTACGATGCAAGAGAAGTGCCTGATGGCATTTGTAAATACAGATCTTTGTCTTAATGGAACTTGAATAAGTAAATGAAAGCTATTTGCATTTTCAAAGTAATTTTTACAGATAACTATGTTTAAAAATAAACTTTAAGACCATATTACATTTTTAAACATCCTGCCCTGCGTACTCGAAGATACACAATATTCCGTAGATGCCCAGGAGAGCTTGCATTTTTGAGTAGTTCTTGTTCATCCCCCTGCCTTGCAAAGATAGTACCCCTGTATAAATTTTAGTTGTCATGTGTTTAATTAATTTATGCTAAGTGAGTATCTTCAAGTTATAGTGGGACTGGATAACCAATTAAACAAGAACAAAAGATGATACAAATCTACATTACAGGAAAGATAAGAATATTATCTTCATGTTGAGGAAAAATTTTTAATTGGAACTTTTTGTTCATTTGGACTAGTTGAGATTTTGATTTTATGGAGGTAAGACTGAAATGAGTATCAAATATGCTTCCAGTTGTAGCATGCCCTATGTATCTGCTAAATTTTCTTTCTGAGATTTTCTTGAAGTGGAAATGTTATTAAATAATATCTTTGTACTTCTTACTGAGATAGAATACTCCCTTTTTAGAGATTAAAAATTTTAAAACAAACAATTGATTATTTTATTCTCATATCCTTTTGCTAACTTGTGAATTGCGATTTGGTTTGGGATTTTAAAAATGTTTACTTTTTTTAGAGGCGGAGTCTCGCTCAGTCGCCCAGGCTGGAGTGCAGTGGTATGATCTCGGCTCACTGCCACCTCCGCCTTCCGGGTTCACGCCATTCTCCTGTCTCAGCCTCCCAAGTAGCTGGGACTACAGGCGCATGCTGCCACGCCCGGCTAATTTTTTGCATTTTTAGTAGAGACGGAGTTTCACTGTGTTAGCCAGGATGGTCTCGATCTCCTGACCTCGTGATCCGCCCGCCTCGGCCTCCCAGAGTGCTGGGAAAAATGTTTACTTTTTAAGCAGATTTGAATTTACTAAAAGATGCAATTCAAGTTAGACTTAAAATTTTTTTTTCTTTTTTTAAGACAGAGTCTCACTTTGTCACCCAGGCTGGAGTGCAGTGGCACAATCTCGGCTCACTGCAAACTCCACCTCCCAGATTGAAGCCATTCTTCTGCCTCAGCCTCCACGGTAGCTGGGACAACAGGCATGTGCCACCACTCCTGGCTAAGTTCTGTATTTTTAGTAGAGATGGGGTTTCACCACGTTGGCCAGGCTGGTCTTGAACCTCTGACTTCAAGTGATCCGCCCACCTCCACCTCCCAAAGTGCAGGGATTATAGGTGTGAGCCACCGCGTTCAGCCTTAGACTTAAAAATTTTTAACTAGAAATTATTTTCTCTTGCTAGGAGGCAGGTGGAAGTCATCATAAAGTTTCTGTTTCACCCGTCGTCCATGTTCGAGGACTCTGTGAATCTGTGGTGGAAGCAGACCTTGTGGAAGCGCTGGAAAAATTTGGGACAATATGGTAAGGACGATAGGGACTTCATGTAGATTGAAAACAGTGTGGCAGAATAATCCTTGCTTGCTTGTTACAAGCCTTGATGTTTAGCATAGTAAATATTGTTTGTATATATAAACAAAGTAGGATCTATTGTTTGCCTATGACTGTATTTCTTTGGAATGTTTTAAGCCTGCTATTTTTAACCTTCCTGGGTGATGCATGGATGTATTTTTGTGGAGCTATGATCACTTCTCACTCCCCAGCAAAGTTGTATAAAGAAATTATGTGCACTTTTCATCTGATTTTCAAATGGGTACATGAGTCCTGTTCAAACACTCTTTAAACCAGTGAGTTGATTACACGCTTCATCTTCAGAGTTTCAAGTAGTGATGCTTAAATATTGATTTTTTTCTTCCTGATTTTGGAATATTTAGGAATTGGCAACTAAAAGTAAATAGATTAAGGGTAGACATTATTTGTTTGGGTGCATATTTGTGTAAGTTCTTTTGTTTATGTGCATACTACTATGAGTTCTTTTTATTTTTTGAGACAAGGTCTCACTCTGTTGCCCAAGCTGGAGTGTAGTGGCACGTTGATGGCTCACTGGAGCCTCCACCTCCTGAGCCCAGTTATCCTCCCATTTTATCTTCCCTAATGGCTAGTGCTACAGACATATGCCACTATGCCTGGGTAATTAAAAAAAAAATTTTGTGGAGATGGGGGTCTCTTGACATTGCCCCAGCTGCTGTTGTGGATTCAAGCTGTCCTCCCACCTCAGCCTCCAAAAGTGCTGGGATTATAGGCTCTCTGAGTTCTTAATGCAAATCATGAGCAATATTTTATCCTAGTTTGTCTTCCTTTTGTGCGTTGTATTCACACAGGTTCCCCCGTCTCTTCCCACAGCTGGTGTATGCTTAATAATATTAACTTAAGTGAAAACGTAGTTAGAAAAGTGAATCTGCTGCCAAAAATAGACACTCAAAAATTCTAAATTATTTTTGGAGTATGCCCGGCTGTTGTTCTTTTCTTAGTATAATCTAGAGTTGATTTTATTATTTTTTTCTTGATGAATATGTTTGGAGCTTTTATTATAGCTACCGAAGACACAGATCAAGTTCAAGTATATAAATAGAAGAGAAATTTCAATGTATTTTCTCAGATACTTACCCTTACTACTTCAGTTTTATAAAAATTCATGGTTAAGTTTTTGAGTATTGAGAGGATAATGCATAGATAGTGACGTAGTGATCAGAGATGTCCAGCAGAGGATATCCAGCAGAAATGGATTATTTCTTCAAAGGAATAGTAATATTAGGTGATACCTTCCATCATGGTATAATTTTATTTTCTTGGGTGACCTCATTGAGAAGTAAATGACTTGGCAAATACACGTTAACCTTGGACGTACAAATTGAGAATCCACATGGGCATAGTAAAGTTTGTATGTTGAAAGTGTATCACTAAGTTGATAATATCAATTCTCAGTCATTTGGAGTGGATATTGGAATTAAGTCTGTGTGGAGAGTTACATATTAGGTAGACAGACTCCTTAGACCTTTAGTCTTGCTGTTGGCAGTAGACTAACCCCAGTCTCTATAAGGACCTTCTAATGATTATGTAAGTGGCACGTTGTCCTGTGGAATTATAAAGAGGTGGATGCCTGTGGTTTATTTTTCTTCTATTCTTGTATATTTAGGGCTTTAAAATTTATTTTCTTAGGCAGATGTCAGAAAACAAGTTGATGAGCAAATACAAATGGAAACTTTGGGAAGCAGTAACTATTTTGATGTTAATTAGTACCATGACCTGAAGGTTAGGGATTAAAGAAAGAACTATTTTAAGTTAGTAATTTGAATTACTCCTGGGTGGCCTTTGCATTTTTAGACTCTAGGTTGTTTGATACTTAGTCTCCGGTAAAGTATTCCATATGTGAATGTCATTCAGTTAATTTGCGTCATTTGCCCTCAAGATTGGTAGTTATGTGGTTAGAAAAGTCTGTGAAATAATTGGAACAAATTAGTGTGTAATTAAGAGCTTAATTGGCATAAATAAGTATAATAGGAGTTTCAGTTGTATGAAATGAACTTGCATAAGAGGTGGCTGCTATTAAGGCTGAAAGAACCTTGTACAGACTCCAGTAGAAATTTTGCTTCAAAATGTTACAATTTGGAACCTTTCCCTTTATTTAATGGAAGGTGTGGGATTATAAACAGCATAGAAACTGTTTATATTAAAATGGTGAATTACCAATTTCAATATATAGTACGCTTATATCTAAAAACTAGATGCATAGGAAAGAAGCTCGGAATAAAATATAACAAGATATTAAGAATGGTTGTGTTGTGTCAGGATAAAAGTGCTTGTGTTTGTTAACTTTTGTTATTTTTCTATACTGTATGAATTATAATCAAAAGAATATTTAAAATATATGTTGTATTTCTTTTTCCCCTTCTCTCCCATTAAAGGAGATATTAGGAAATGATTAGTTTTACAGTACAACATTTGGGACCCGGTTTGTGCACTAAATCTGTTGTCTTCTCCTATGTTTTTTTTTAGAAATTAGTAAAGATGTTTAGATTGATGGAGTTAAAAGCATTGATCCCACCATGTCCCTTAGCTTTTTTGTTTCTTTAGCTTTTTCTCTCTTTGATCTCCCACTCTTTCTCATATTAATACCTTTTTTCTTTATTTTTTTGAACTCCTGGGCTCAAGCAGTCTTTTCACTTCAACTTCCCAAGTAGCTGGGACTATAGGCACAAACCACCATACCTGGTTTCATATGAGTGCGTTTTAAAGATTGAAAAAAAACTGTGCACCAGACAATTTAAGCACATGGTAAAATGTCTGTAACATTTCAGTTTTTTTTATATTGAATATTGGCAATAAAAAGGAAAATAAAACATTTTAGTTTTTTCTTCATTGATGCTACTTTTCTGGGTAACCTTCACTTTAAGTTGTGCTTTTATCTCATTTCTTTTTTTTTTTTTTGAGACAGTTTCACTGTCACCCAGGCTGCACTGCAGTGGCGCGATCTCGGCTCACTGCAACCTCCGCCCTCTGAATTCAAGCGATTTTCCTGCGTCAGCCTCCCAAGTAGCTGGGATTACAGGCACCTGCCACCGCGCCCAGCTAATTTATTTATTTATTTTTTTTTTTTGAGACGGAGTCTCACTGTTGCCCAGGCTAGAGTGCAGTGGCACGATCTCAGCTCACTGCAAGCTCTGCCTCCTGGACTCACACCATTCTCCTGCCTCAGCCTCCCAAGTAGCTGGGACTACAGGCACCCACCACTATGCCTGGCTAATTTTTTGTATTTTTAGTAGAGACAGGGTTTCACCATGTTGGCCAGGCTGGCCTTGAACTCCTGACCTTGTGATCCACCCACCTCGGCCTCCCCAAAGTGCTGAGATTACAGGCATGAGCCACCGCGCCCGGCCAGCTCACTTCTTATTTTAGTTACTGAAAGTAAATTTACTAAGTCTCTAACAGGCCAATAAATAATTTACTTCTGTATCTGTATTAGTCTGTTGTCACATTGCTATACTGCTATAAAGATGTACTTGAGAGTGGGTAATTGATAAAGAAAAGACATTTAATCGGCTCATGGTTCTGCAGGATATACAGTCTTCTGCTTCTGGAGTGGCCTCAGAAAACTTAGAATTATGCAAAAGGTGAAGGGGAAGTAGGCATGTCTTTACATAGCCAGCAGAAGAGAGAGAGAAAAAAAGAGAGAGGGAGAGAGAGCGCGCACACAAAGGGGGAGGTGTCGCACACTGTCAAACAACCAGATCTTGTGAGAACTCTGTCAGGAGACAGCACTAGGGGGATAGTGCTAAGCTATTAGAAACCACCCCCATGAGCCAATCACCTCCCACTAGGCCCCACCTCCTACACTGGTGATGACAATTCAATACCAGGTTTGGATGGGGCCATAGAGCCAGACCATATCAGTACCTTTATAATTTTCTGTTTTCATATGGCATCATTAGCATAATGACATAAACTTAGTAATACATTTAGATATTAAACCAACCTTTTTGTTTTGTGAAAGAAGATTTTTTTCTTCTTGAATTTCTTTAGCATAGACCTGATACCAGGGTTTTCTGTTTTCCACGTGCAAGACTTTAGAACTTCAGTGAAGCGTCTGTGTTTCTAAAAGGAATGTCTCCTGGGATTTATATCTTGCACTTTTAGTTGGTAAATATTTAAATCCAACACCTTGTTTTTATACTTCTTTAATTTTGAATGATATGGGTGGGGAAAACTAACAAGCCCCCTAGAGTAACAAATATGTGCCAGGCTCTGTTTCTAGCTTCTCAGGACATAAAGATGAATGAGGAAAGGTATGTTAAAAAAATAATAATACAGTAATAGTTACCTTTTATTGAGGGTGTACAATGTGCAAGGCAATCCGCTTAGCAGTTTGTATGTAGTAACTCTAATCTTGACAATTCTCCAAGTTTTATCAATGAGGAGGCTGACATTTATTATAATAATAATTTGCCAGGCTGTAAGGTGATCTGTTTCTTATTAATGCTGTACCATTTGTCAGTTTCCATAGTGTAGCAGTAGGTCCTGGATGCCTGATTGAGAAACAGTGATGTCACTGAGTACTGGACCCGACATTTCTTTGGCCTTCTGCTATTACTATAACCACTTAATTGTATTTTAAAGCATTTTTAAGGTCCTTGTTCCTGTGAATAGAGGACATGTTTCCCCCATTGTGATCCATGTGCTGTGATTTCTGTCTTCCACCCTTCCTTTACTTCTTTATTCTTCATTTCCTGTTTTAAAATGTATCTCCTCCAAAAAGAACTACTTAATGTGTTGTATTTTGGGGTTTTTTGGCTGCTTTGTTTGTCTCTCTAGTAAAGAGTATACTATGAAAAGTAAACATCTTACCTTCCTGCTCGTAGACAATCATGATTGCCATATTCTAATGAATTTTTTTCATGGATGGTTAATAGTAAAAATGTTTCGGAGGAGATTATTTGTATGAACTTTGGAACTTTGGTCAGTCTGTGGTTGCTTCCATTTATATCTGTTTTAAAATTAAAGTCAGTTCTTAGCTGTTAGTGTGGATGTTTATTCAAGAAAATTCAAGAGAGGTTAGTAGTTTCTGCTGTTAAGTAGGGATTCTGTCTGCCAACCTTCTGTTGAGTTTAGTCTCCGTTGGTTTCTGTGTCTTTGAAATTTTCTAATACTGCTTCGGAGTAGCACCCCAAAGAGTAAACTGGGTTGTCTTGTTAGTAACTAATAACAGGTAATTGTTTTTGAGGAGATCATGAGGTAGATAAACTTAATCACTGGGAGATAAGCTTTCATATGTGTACATCTACCTGGTGTACCACAATTCTTTGGATGATTTAAGAGTTGATTTATTTTATGCCTGTAATCCCAGCACTTTGGGAGGCTGAGGTGGGCGGATCATGAGGTCAGGAGATCGAGACCATCCTGGCTAACACAGTGAAACCCTGTCTCTACTGAAAATATAAAAAATTAGCTGGGCATGGTGGCGAACATCTGTAGTCCCAGCTACTAAGGAGGCTGAGGCAATAGAATGGCGTGAACCCAGGAGGCGGAGCTTGCAGTGAGCCCAGATCGCGCCACTGCATTCCAGCCTGGGTGACAGAGAGAGACTCTGTCTCAAAAAAGAGTTGACTTACATTGAACACAGGTAATGAAGAGTACTAATCTGTGAGATTTGACACATTTGTATTAAAGTCTGCTTTTACCTAATTGAGGACAAATAATGTTAACGGAACTTCCTGTGGTTTTGTGTTTCCTCCTTATCTCCCTTTTCAGCTATGTCATGATGATGCCATTTAAACGACAGGCTCTAGTGGAATTTGAAAACATAGATAGTGCCAAAGAATGTGTGACATTTGCTGCAGATGAACCCGTGTACATTGCTGGTCAACAGGCTTTTTTCAACTATTCTACAAGCAAAAGGATCACTAGGCCAGGAAATACTGATGATCCATCAGGAGGCAACAAAGTTCTTCTGCTCTCAATTCAGAATCCGCTTTATCCAATTACAGTGGTATGTGTTTCAGTGTGACAAATGAAATTAGAAGTGATTTTGCAATTTGTGTCCAGAGTGACTGATATGTAGTTTTTTCATTACCATCTAGATACTAGAAAATAGCTTTTTTAATTTTGAAAATTAATCTTGACTAGCAAGTTTAATGAACAAAGAAAAAATGCTGAGCACTCTAGTTAAAAAGATAAGCACAGTTGTCATAATTAAATAGGCACATTGAAATTTTTAATGTATAATCAGTACCAGTGTTGGTTTTGATAATAAGGAATTAGAGAGACTTGTTTGAAATGGTTCAAAAAATCTCTGTCACGCATATGCCAGCATATGTGTAAGAGCATCTACTAGGTAATGACAGAATCCCATGTTACGGTAAGATGCACATACCATTTTGAACTATTTTGCAGTAGCTTGTTAAAAATCTGTCTTTGATTTACTTTAAATTCCCTGCTTCTTTACTCTTTTGAAAAGTGTTACTGGTGATAAGCTAGTAACACAGACGCTTGATTTTTGTAATGAATAGAAGAACATCATAGTAAGGGAAACTTCAGTTGGTATCATATGTAGTCTGGGCGTATGATATTGGGACATAAACTTAAAGCGTAAGATACTCTTTAGATTTAATTAGACATTTTGTATCTTAAATATAGACTTATAAATATATAGAATTAATATATTTATAATATCTGGTGTTGGGAAAACATATAAGTAATATAGTATAGGTACTCTGTTTTTTGTTATATCTCTGGTGTGTAACAATGCAACTGTAAATTATAGGTGCTCAAGAAATTTCTTGGTAGTTGAATAATTACTCCTAAGTAGGTATTTAGAATCTTAGATGACTCAGGCATCTTGTTTAGTGACATCTAACTGTTTGATCTTCCTTGGGACTTTTCTTTATAGCCATTATCCCTTGAAAAATCAGTATCAGAGTTGTTCTAATATTAGCTCTTAATACTATATATTTATTACTATAATTTAATACTATATATTTAACACTATAATTTTATAATTTAATACTATAATACTATATATTAATACATATTTATTACTATAATGCAAGTGATTATAATATTAAACATTTCAGAGTCACATTTGGAAAAAATACTCATTGATTATAGTTTCGGTTTATTTTGTATCATCAGAAGTTATTTTAGTCACCTATTAAGAAAATAACAATTGAGGATTCATTTAGGAGATAAAATAGGTGACAGTGCTTTCCAAATGTTCCATTGGAACTACTTTAATGTGGGTGTATTGTTTAGGTGAAGAAATAACTTAAGATTTATTAAAGTGTAATAATTTTAGGCCAGTATGGTGGTTCATGCCTATAATCCTAGTATTTTGGGAGACTGAGGTAGTAGGATTCCTTGAGCTCAGGAGTTTGAGGCAGCCTGGGCAACATAGTGAGACTCTGTCTCTACAGAAAATGAAAAATTAACCTTGTTTGGTGGTGCATACCTTGAAGTCTCAAGCTACTTGGGAGGCTGAGGTGGGAGGATCGTTTCAGCCTGGGAAGTCAGGGCTGTAGGGAACTGTGATCATGCCACTGTGCTCTAGCCTGGGCAACAGTGTGAGACCCTGTCTCAAAAAAAAAGTAATAATTTAAAAATCTAATTTTATTAATAATCAATAGAAATGACATCTTGACAGTTGATGGTTTTTAGGTAAAACAAAACGAAGTATAGCATTAATGTTTTTCCAAATGTAAAGTGTGAAGAAATCTTGTTCTTTTCCTTCATAGGATGTTTTATATACTGTCTGCAACCCTGTTGGCAAAGTGCAGCGTATTGTTATATTCAAAAGAAATGGGATACAAGCAATGGTTGAATATCCTTTATTTGTAAATTTTTATTGATGTGTAATTAATGCGGATCTTATTTTTTCTGGCTTAAGCATTTCCAGACAAGTGGTGTTTACTTTCTCCTCTCACAAAAATCTATGTGACTTAGATTTAAAAAATGAAACTGCAGTACTCATAGGGAATTTTACTATTTATAAGAATGACTTGCTACCAGAAAGCAATCTAGTACTTCCTCTTTAAGCTGTTAAATAACACTATTTGAAGATATGTACACTTGTACTATTTTGGAATTTATCCCAAGTGAACTTTTCTGACTCCCTCTTTAAAATAGTTTGGAAGTACCAAAACTTTAGAGTCAGTAAAATCTTACCTTTTTTTATTGAACCTTTAAAATGGTAATGGTTTATATAAGAACTTATTTATGTTGAATTTGTCATACGTTGAGTAAAAAGAGCAAGTTTTACAAAATAGTATAGATAATACTCTTTCCCCCAAGCTGGACCCATCTTGAAAAATAATAATAAAGAGAAAACCCCAACCTACGTGTTTATGTGTATGCATAGAAATAGGTAGGGATATACAGCAAACTCTTTAATAGTGCTTGCTTCTGGCAAGGCACTTTTGGTTTTTTGTTTTTTTACCTTATATACCTTTGTGATTTTATTTTTTTAAAATTATGGACTTAAGTAATTTTTTTAAAACACTGATAAAATTTTAGATAAAGTATTATAAAACTCTGCCCTCTCAGAAATATATAAAAATCATATATTTTGTTTTGTCTTATTTTGGCTCTTTGTAATATTCTTCTTAAAGAGTAAAATCTTTTCTGTTTCAAGGTTGCAAGTTGTCCTTTGCTAGCGAATGGGACCATGCTCCATTATTTCCTCTGCTTTCCAATTTATAAAGTACTAATGATGACCTAAAATAATTAAGGCAGATAGTTTGGTTGTATTGTTTTCTTTGGTACCCTTGATTATTATTATTTTTTTTAGACAGAGTTTCGCTTTTTGTTGCCCAGGGTGGTCAAGTGATTCTCCTGTCTCAGCCTCCGGAGTAGCTGGGATGACAGGCACCCACCACCACACCCGGCTAATTTTTGTATTTTTAGTAGAGACGGGGCTTCACCATGTTGACCAGGCTGGTCTCGAACTCCTGAGCTGCCTCAGCCTCCCAAAGTGCTGGGATTACAGATGTGAGCCACTGTGCCCAGCCACCCTCGATCTTAAAAATAAATTCTCCTGGCCAGGCGCGGTGGCTCACGTCTGTGATCCCAGCACTTTGAGAGGCCAGGGTGGGCGGATCACGAAGTCAAGAGATCGAGACCATCCTGGCCAACATGGTGAAACCCTGTCTCTGCTAAAAAAATAAAAGATCATCTGGGTGTGGTGGCACACACCTGTAGTCCCAGCTACTTGGGAGGCTGAGGCAGGAGAATTGCTTGAACCCGGAAGATGGAGGTTGCAGTGAGCCCCGATTGCACCACTGCATTCCAGCCTGGCGACAGAGCAAGACTCCATCTCAAAAACAAAACAAAACAAAACAATTCTGTTAAAATTCATCCTGAAATAGGTAAAACATTTCCAGAAATAAAAGAGCTACTTGTGATTATTTTCAATCCTGTCCTTTGGGAGTGAATGATGATTAAGTATCAGATACCTTAAACCAAATTTCCTTAATAGAGCTTATGTTTGAATCAGTCCTTTGTGCCCAGAAAGCTAAAGCAGCACTCAATGGAGCTGATATATATGCTGGATGTTGCACACTAAAAATTGAATATGCACGGGTAAATATTTTTTTCAACACCCTACCAAAGAAATATTTATGCTTTGGATATACAGTTTGAACTTACATTATTTTCAATCTTAACAGCCAACTCGTCTAAATGTTATTAGGAATGACAATGACAGTTGGGACTACACTAAACCATATTTGGGAAGACGAGGTAGGTATTTCATGCATTTTAGAATGTACTTAATCTGCTGACAAATATTTACATGCAGTTAGATTCTTTTTTTCCTGAGATGAGCTAGTTCAAATGAAAACCTTGTTGATGAATGCTTTTGTTGCAAAAGGCCATGTAATGCTGGAAAATAACCTTGAACATTAGTGCCCCCTACTGGTATGTACTGAGCTATTTATATTTAGTTCAACAAGGAGCCCACACATTCAGGCACGCCCGCAGTTCAAGGACTTGCATTTCTCCAAGCAGCTCTCTCTCTTTGGAGGAGAGGAAACTGATTCAGAATATTCCTTACAAACTGCAAACTTGCACACTGCTTCTCTATGGAAAGGACTTTCCCCCAAGCTGGACGAGGCATTAAGAAGGATAGAGGACTCCAGCAGGCTGACTCTACACTTCATCATGCACAACATCGGCATCAGCAAAAAGCCCTCTGAAAAACTCAGACTCGCAATTCACCTTGACTGCATACTGCATGCACCATCACCCCAAGTTTTTAAAGGAGGACACTTAACAGTACTTCAGAATTGCATGGGATGAACACCATGATAGACTGTGCCCATTTATTCAAGTTGTATGTATATATTGGTCTGATTTCCCTTAAGGTTTCAGTTGTAGAAATTAAGACTTTCCACTAACGGAAACTAGACTTCATCTGCAATGTTGTAAATCTTAATGCCCATTACTGTAACTGTTTGCAGCTTAGATTCAAATTGTTAATTGGCAAATAACGAGGACCAGTTTATTAACAGGTCTTGGGAATTGATAACGCTCAACCAATCCACACAGATAGTAAAAATAAAAGGATTAGAAAGGTGCACACTTGCTGCACTTGTTTACTTTTTAAATTTTTTGTTTTTTCCTCAATTGTGGACACTGAACAGAAATTCTAACATAATGAAAAGGTGCATTATATGTGAAAGATGTTCTGTGTGGTTTGATTTTTGTAAAGTGGCTGTTTATAAGTTGTCACTTTTTGTAACAATTTAAGGTTATCACTATGTCAATTTGTGTAACTAGAAATTTTGACATTTCAAATGTAGGTGAAAGTAACATGTTTGTTCAAGGTAGAATATATTTAAACTTGATAAATCTGAAAATAAGAGCATTTCATTTGAGATGCATCTTCACCTATAAGTGCTAGATTTCATGAGCATAAATTTGACTGATAAAATTGTTCAACTAACTGTGTGGCAATTCTGGAATATACAAATTAAAATGTGGATCTTGTAAAAACAAGGGGGCTGCAGTATTGGCTACATCTTAACTACAATATCAGTGTTTGAACCACAGATTGGAAAAACTCAAGATAAGTATGTCTGTAAAAGTCAGTGACTAGAAAAAAATTTTATGGCATACAAAATATCTTGGGCAGTGGGTACTCTATAGTGCATGTACTCTAGCAAAAAGAAAAAGACAATGTGATGATTGATCTTTTGCATGTTTGCATATTTAGGACTTTTACATGATTGGCTCCTTTAACTCTCAATTCCCAGGAAATGATCTTGCCTCATGCATGAAATTGCAAATAGATTTGTTTTGTAATGCAGCTTTGGCTAGACCCCATGTTTTTCACTACTTATGGAAATCTGCTTGGCCTAGGGTTGGTGCAGTTGATGTCAGTATTAGAAAGCAAATCCTTAGCACTCAAACAACAGGACAAGTGGTTGATGAGAAATCTCTCACTTCTGTCAATTTACGGTTTTTGACCACGCGGTTTTGTTTTTTAACAAAAAAATCTCATTTGAAATAGTTTTGGTTGTGGTTTTCTCAGGGTCTTTTTAAACAGGTATAGATAAGCTTATTTTAATAGTGTTTACATTCTTTTAAAAGGTCTGAAGTTTACACAAAGCCAGCTGAGGTTAGTTCTTCATATAATTCTAGTCGGTCAGATAAGTTTGGAAATGTGTAAGGTAGATAAGTGAATAGTGAAATATAATTAAAGCAAGTAAAAGAGTTTTAGTTTATGTTTTCAAGGAATTTTTTTTGTTTTCTAATTCCTTACAGATATTTGTCTTGCAAGACCATAACAGTTTATGTTTTTGTTTCTGTAGAGCTCTTAGCTTACACTCAAGTTGATAGCTATTGAAACTGTTAGGTTGCTATCCCTAAATAAAGACCTTCATAAACTTTTTTTTACCAAAAAAAAAAAAAAAAAAAACTTTTAAAAACATAACTTCACTTTTTTCAAAGCCCTTTTGAGCTTGAGTTATATTTTAGTGTAAAGAATCCCTAACCAGGATGCCAGGGAACCCCTCCAGAAATCTTAAAACCTGTAGATAGGTGCATCTTTTTGGGGAGAAGGTCCACAGCTTCCATCAGATCAGTTGACTCTAGGAAAGCTTACCACTGTTCAGAAACTGTTATATTTAGCCGGGCGCGGTGGCTCAAGCCTGTAATCCCAGCACTTTGGGAGGCCGAGACGGGCAGATCACGAGGTCAGGAGATCGAGACCATCCTGGCTAACACGGTGAAACCCCGTCTCTACTAAAAAATACCAAAAAAACTAGCTGGACGAGGTGGCGGGCACCTGTAGTCCCAGCTACTCGGGAGATTGAGGCAGGAGAATGGCGTAAACCTGGGAGGCGGAGCTTGCAGTGAGCCGAGATCCAGCCACTGCACTCCAGCCTGGGCGACAGGGTGAGACTCCGTCTCAAAAAAAAAAAGAAAAAAAAAAAAGAAACTGTTATATTTAGTGTTCAGCTTTCTGCTCACTTCTGTTTTACGTGACCTATTAGGTAGCGAATACTTCAAATGAAGTGAATTATTAATGAGAATGTTTGGCTGAAAGATACCTTGGAAGATAATCTAACTCCTTCATTTATGAATGAAAATTATTTCTGTGACTATACAGCAAACTAGTGGTTTAAATTGGAATCATCTGATTCCCAACCCAGTTCTCTTTCCTTTATAGCACACTGTTAACTGTATCAATAAAACTGAGTCATGAAGACATTATGGTTGTGGTTTTAAGATTCCTAGGTCAGATAAGGAATTGTATTTAGTGTTTGATGGCATATGCTGAAGCAGAGGAATATTTAACAGAATGGATTAGTAGGCTAGATTGGCTCAAAAGGAGTGAAACTTGCATGATGAGAGACGTTAGAAGCCATGTAGTAGAAGGAACTGTGAATGTTAAGATTGAAGAAGAAATGACTTGGGGGAAATGGGGTTGGGGGGACAGTCATAATAACTACTCAAGCATTTAGAAGAGGTTTTGGACAATGACTAAGTCTGTAAGGCCCCAAATGGGGTAGAATATGGGTAGAGGATCAATTTCTATACAATATAAAAATTAATTTTCTCACAATTTAGGGCTATCTGGAAATCTTACTGGTTTTGGGTAAGCAGAAGCTAAATGGTCCCAACTGACAGAGATGATGTAAAGAGAATTTTTACATGGAATAAAAGTTAAACTAGATGGTGTCAGTCCATTTCAGTGCTACAATAACTTGGAATACGTGATTAAAACTCTACTTCTCTAGACTGAAGTGAAAATTAAAGTATTTCTCATCTCCCATAAACCTCATTTGTTTAAGTGACTAAGGATATAGGTAAAGCCTCTCAGAATTTTCAAGGATTAGAATGACCAGAGTCTTAAGATTCATATTTTAAAAAATTTTATTGGGCACTGTAATTTCATCAGCAAACTTTCTAAAAGTATTGTACAATGATTTTTAAAATTTACTAACCAACATGGGAGGTGCTATTTTAGAAACTTATAAGTAATTTTTTTGTTGATGTCTCTAATTAGATTTGGGAAAATTGGCATGCTTTTTCTGAAAATGTAGCTAGAATAAAAATTATCCTTTAGAGTATTGTAGTATTCTCATCCAATAATGTAGCCCCCTTGGTTAGCTTTATCTTGGCATCTTTAAAGTTTGGGGGTTGCTCATAGTCCTACCTGGTGTTAAGGTCAATAGACAATGACCTATTCATGATATAATATGAGCCAGTGATGTGAACATTTTCAGCTCTCAAGTCAGGTGTTTGTAAATATGTGCATATACATGTAAAATACTCTGTGTTTACTGATTGTGAAACCATGTAATACAGGTTGTTGTTGGCTTATGCTGAAACTTCTTGAAAGAAGCCCACTTTGAAAATGTGTTGCTGTTGAAGCTAATAGTATGATTCAGGTACTGTCTTTCAAAAGTACTGCACTTAAAGCTTGTTTTAAAGACATGTATTGGTAAAAACTTCTGTACAGTGTCAAACCTCTAGCATTGTGTACATTCACTTTCTGAAAAGTATCCATTCTTCCTTAAATTTGAAAGTGTGATTGTATTTGGCATTTGCCAAAAAGATATATTCAAGTTAAGTGGAATTTGTTAGATAGAATTAATTTTTTACACTCTTGGTGTTGTATTTAAATTGGATATGAATGGATGTTTAAAGTTAACCAGGAATCATATTTCTTTTATGAATTGTTGTATTGGATGTTTTGAATGGGTGTTTCCCATCTGAGAACTCTGTTAAGTACTTGGGTCAAAATTGTTAAAATCATGTTTCTACTTTTGTGTCAGATAGAGGAAAGGGTCGCCAGAGACAAGCCATTTTGGGAGAACACCCTTCTTCGTTTAGACATGATGGCTATGGTAAGTTGTCAAGGCAGAAAGAAGGTAGTATAGATGAACTGTTTGACTTGCTGCATTTCTGATGAAGTATGGCATGTTTCTTGTCTCTGTATTTTTCCTGCACATCTGCCTCGGTTTATATGGGATCAGTCCCTTATAATGTACTCCCAGGAGTTGTCCAAAATTTGTTTTCTTAGGATATTGATTATAAAAAAAAAAAACATTGAGATAAGTGAGTGCTACTAGTCGGGGATTGAATACTTTTTTGCCATTATATTTTGGTTTGGTTTTGATTTTTAATGGGTTCTGGCTTGTAAGAGGACCAGAAAGAAGAATTATTGTTCAGTAAGTGTATTTTCTTTCATTCCAGCAATTAGGAACAAAGAGGAATTTTGAGTAATAAAGGCAGAAAGAATAGGGTATTTGTCAAAAAGGAACCATGCTTTTGGTTAGACTCACCTTTTAGTTCTATAGCTGGTATTTTGGCTTCAGTTAAATTTGTTCATATTTATTCCCCTTTTAAAACTTCTCAGCTTTTATTGTTTGCTACGTTGACAAGGTTATGGAACCTAGAATAATAATCTGCCCCAGGAAAAAGTTAGGGTAACATTAGGTATCAAACTGTCGTCCTTATAAGTAGATCTTTTAACTAGCTGTAAATGGTTTTAAAATATTCTTTAGTTTTTAGTGGTAGTTATTGACTCTACCTATTCTGTGCTTTAAAGTTGAAGCACAATACTATTAAAAGTGGCAGAAAATAGAAATTGCTATGTTGTAGTCTTGGGATTGGTCACTGAAAAGCACCTGGTATTGCCTATTGTCCTAAACGGTTCAAATTGCTTACATATTTACTTTAATGACCAATCTTAGCTGTGAGTTTTAGCTTATTTTCTAGTGTTTTTCTTTTGAACTCGGGGAGGGGGGGAGAGAGAGAGAGAGAGAGAGAGAGAGAGTGTGTGTGTGTGTGTGTGTGTGTGTTTTAAGGTTCCATAGTCTATATGGCAGAAAAGATTGAAACCATCTCTGTTTTGTCAAAACAGTAAGTGTGGTATAGAATGAAAATCTTACTACAGTTGGTTTAGTGAATGTGTGTGTACCTTGATTATTTTTCTTAGTTATTCCTGTAACAGAGTAAATATTAAACATGGTTGTATGGGTAGTTCTGATCCTGCAATAAAGAAACATTGGGTGTCTTTTGCACTTTGATAATGGAGGATTACAAAAAATTTGCCGTTGCAAGTTTGTAGTATAGTTGTAGAGTCATGGCAGTCAGCTAAAGGCTAAAACCTGGTTAAATAGTTTGCCAAAGGGGATTAGAAACATCTGTGAAATAATAAATGAAGGACAAGGAACTGTACTGTAGTAGTGTGGAAACAGATTTTTTCTTAGTATAAGTCTGCCTTCCTTTATAAAATTTTTACCGAAAAATAGTATAAACAAAATATGTTATATACCCTGCAAAAATTTTTTATTTTTAAAAAGCCTATTGTGAAATTTTTTGAGAGTTGTGGTGGGATTGTATTAGGGGGGTATCCATTCTGACCTGTCTCCATTAAGATATTTAACTCTGAGGTTAATTTGTTCTACTTTTCTAGGAAAGTAAGCAAAATGGGATATAGGAGGAAAGAGAGTGAAAAAGAGGCAGAGAAGTGAAGAAAGATGAGTAATAGGGGAAAAAGCAAAGATGGGGATGTGTGCTAGTGATATTGAGCCCTTTTACAAATATTGCAAATCACAAATGTATCCCTTCAGATCAGCAGTTCAGCAAAACAGGTTTACTTGCATTTTGGAATCACCTTATAGATTACCTTTCCTTTTCCTATATGATGACCTATAAGGGAATAGAAAGAGTTAATTATGGTTCAGGACCCATAGATTCCATCAGAGTAAGTTTATTATTCATTGGTTTATTATAGCAGTATGAAATATATGTGAATCATCACAATTCTTTACATCTTTTAATTTGGGAAGCCCAGACTTAATGATATGAGCTGGTAGAAGCTTTCTTTTTTTTTTTTTTTTTTTTTTTTTTTTTTTGAGACGGAGTCTTGCTCTGTAGCCCGGACTGGAGTGCAGTGGCCGGATCTCAGCTCACTGCAAGCTCCGCCTCCCGGGTTTACGCCATTCTCCTGCCTCAGCCTCCGGAGTAGCTGGGACTACAGGCGCCCGCCACCTCGCCCGGCTAGTTTTTTGTATTTTTAGTAGAGACGGGGTTTCACCGTGTTAGCCAGGATGGTCTCGATCTCCTGACCTCGTGATCCGCCCGTCTCGGCCTCCCAAAGTGCTGGGATTACAGGCTTGAGCCACCGCGCCCGGCTGTAGAAGCTTTCTTAGTTGAACTGTGGCAGAAATTGATATATAGATTTATTTGCTATAAGCTCAGGAAGAGTTTGTATATTAATTTGTAGCATCTTTGGATATGGTTTGTAGACCAAAGATTTTAAAGCTTAAAAGATGAAAAATGCCTTCAAGATGTCAATATACCATTTATTTTTCCACATCAGTTTTTTAAATATTTGAAGCATTAGTTTTTTGAACACCCAGACTTTCTATTATCAATTTAGTATAGAAAACTTTTAAAAGACTTCTGATTTTTCTTAAACAATATAGGTAATAATTTAAGTAGTATAGATAAGGTAATTTAATAATGATGGTTCAAAGTCATAATTATAAACATTAGTTATTCTTTTGGACTGATTTTGGTTGTTAGGGCTGTAGATCTCAGAGGTTTTGGACCTTAGCCACTATACATAGAGTAAAAGTTTCCACTGCCTATCTACCATGTGTCTTTTTACTTCCATGAAAAAGAAAATTCAGTGTGATGATGGTGAAGTGTCATTACTGTATAAGCAAATGGTAGGTGGTGGGGAGGCAGTGTGGTATGTATATGTACTTTTGCGATAGGAATAAAAATAATTGATATTTGAATCTTGTTGTGTGTATAACAGTCTAAGAGGCTAAAATATGTAATTACTAAACAGTCGCTCATTTGGATTGTTTTGTTAAACTACCAGTTGCCAATAAAAGGAGTAGTTGAAATCCATGACCAATTTAAGGAGACACTGATGATGATAAATTGATAAAGTATTCCTCCCTGAAACTGCTGAAATTCACACTGAGTTTGCGTGTGCTTGGTGGTAGTGTTACTGTGTTGTTATGAATGGCAGCTGTTATTAGAATACCGAAAATTGGAGTCCACCATAAGCTCTAATAGTATGTTATGAATACCAAAATTTAGTAGTTCTTAGTAATTCACTTAGTAGATAGATGACAGTTGTCCCTTAGTCTTATTTACAAAAAGTACAACTCAGTGACATTGCATACTCTTTAGTTCTTGAGAAATGGAGAAAGGACTAGGGTTTTTGGATTGGTTTTGCACATCAGGGGGACCTTTGCATGTACCCCAGACGATGCTTCTGTTATAATTAACTTGGGAGCACCTAAGATGTGTAGGGTTTCTGTTTCTGAGCTGCATGTCTCCATCTTAGTTGCTGCTTTTGAGTTTCTCTGTCTTCTTATTGCTGTAAAATGTGCCCGATGCCTACTTTGAGTGTCAGTTTTCTCCACCGTCATTTCTTTTCATTCTATACTCTCGCTTTATTTTTTGTTACTTTTATTGTGGATGGGAAAAACAGATAAAGTTGTTTAAAGCTACTCTAAAGTTAGCAAGTTGATTCTTAATGAGGATTCTCAATGTAAGAAACACAGATTTGTGTGTGTGTTTCTGCTGAAATAGTTTTAGGTACTCAGGCATTATTTCCTTCTGGGTTTTTGATACTGTTTCAAAAAATGGAAGTTGTAATAAGACACCTGTGTGTAGTTGAGTTATTAACTAAATATAGGGTTTAGTTTCCTAAATTAGAATTAGAGGAATAAGATAACCAACCTGAAAGTACACAGTAAAATATATTCAAGGAAACAACTTTTCAGTGGGACTGAAGAAGTTCTTTTTAGTATATCTGTATAGAGATAGCTTCCTAGATTTCACTGTACATGTAATATTATTACTCCTCCAAAAGACATTGGCAGGAGGTTTATTATTTATTTATTTATTTTATTATACTTTAAGTTCTAGGGTACGTGTGCACAATGTGTAGGTTTGTTACATATGTATACATGTGCCATGCTGGTGTGCTGTACCCATTAACTCGTCATTTACATTAGGTATATCTCCTAATGCTATCCCTGCCCCCCCCATAGGACCCAGTGTGTGATATTTTTTAAATTTGAGGTATAATTTATATACAGTGGCCCCAAATTTTACATTCATTTTCTTAACCCCCACCCCATTGCCTTTTTTGTTAAACTATCATATTTTAAAAATATAAACTCATAGCCTGGTGTATGCAGGTATAGGTCAATATATATTGTATCTGGTGCAAATGAATACAAATTTTATTAATTTTCCTTGGGTTATACTGAAATATCCATACATTTAAATTTTCTTTGTACATCAAACTAGCTAATATTAAGAGTTTATTTTTTGTGTGGTGCAGTATATCTCCTAAAGTATTTACAAACAGAAGTATATGTATATGTTAGTTAATTTGTTTATTTTGATCATTTTTATAGGATCCCATGGTCCATTATTGCCTTTGCCAAGTCGTTACAGAATGGGCTCTCGAGATACACCTGAGCTTGTTGCTTATCCATTACCGCAGGCTTCTTCCTCTTACATGCATGGAGGAAATCCCTCTGGTTCAGTTGTAATGGTTAGTGGATTACATCAACTAAAAATGAATTGTTCAAGAGTCTTCAACCTATTCTGCTTATATGGAAATATTGAGAAGGTAAGTTTCTCTTTATATTAGTTTCTTTTGCTAGGATACTCAGTAGTAATTCTGAAAAGGCTGCAAATATGTGTCTTCTCCTTGTATCAGGAATATCCAAGTTCTTTCAGTAATGACCTACATAAGCTAAAAATCCATTATATAAGAACTCTGGAAAATGTTTTTTTGTTGGTAAGTAATAAGTATAGGTTGTTGATACTACAAATATTTTTAAAATAACCAATATAAAAAGAAGTCTAAAGCAGTAGTAATCAACCACTATGGTATGAGAGGCGTGAAGTCTATATTTTTGTGATCTCATTTCAAAGAGATTCTAGCATTTAACATGTTGAAAGAACAGTTACTTTCATGGAGGGTATATATAAAAACAAGCTTAAGAGCCTAGCCAGAAGTTGTGAATTTCAGAAGAGTTCTAGAATTTAGGCACTTGCCTCCTAAATGCCAGGGTTCTATTATCTTCAGAGGAACCATGTGCATTTAGCCCAATCAGTATTTGAAACTGACCCACTTTGATAGAATGTGTCCAAAACTTTCTGTCTAGCAATTTACATATTTTGGAGGTCTTTAATAATTGTAACTTTATTATCAAATAACTGTGTTTTCCCCAAATCTGCAACATTTTATTTATTGATCTCTCACAAATGTGAGATAAATAGTTTTTGAAAGAATCATGGAAAATTTAACTAGGAAAGTGAATGGTAGTCTAAGTTACCAGTTGTTTGATACACTTGCTAATTTGAGTTTTAGTACTGTAGTAATGTGTTTTTTTCCTGTTTTAAGTGATTTTAGTGTTCTTTGCAACAGTAAGTACTTGCAGCATGTGAGTCACTGTGTGGGAGGGGAACATGGCTTGAAAAGTTGGTACATTTAGTTCTTAGTTCATCAATTCTAAAGCCTCCTTGATCAAAGGAAGCAACTCTTCAAAATTCTGAAACAAGAATTTTGTCAACCATTTGATCACAGTAGGAAAAAAAAAAAGAAAACTCCGCATTTGGTCTGGGGGATAACATATGGGATACTTACGCTTGTGTAACTGGCCAAGAATACATGGGATAGGTTTAGTAGCGTTGGGAGAAGTATTATTTTCACACAGACACTTTATCTTAGACCCAAGTGTTAAGTGGAGAGAACTGCATGTTTGATAATTAAATGGGCTTTAATGTATATTTTAACTTTCTTTATATTTTCTTTTTGTGCTATTCACATATGCAGACAATCAGAATCAGGCAATTTAATCAACATCTTTAGTAGATCTTTGTCTTTTGTGTTATAAACTGTCTCATATGATTTAGAAACTCAAATTACTTTTTCTAATGAAACTTAGATTTTCTGTATGTTATTTGACTAATTCTAGTGTCTTTCACTCTACATCTCCCAAGTTTTTAAAACATTTTAAATGATAGGCTGTGGTACATTGAACTCAAACTATCATAATCCTTTAAAGATCCGTATATAGTTAATTTTTTCTTTCTTTTGAAGATTTACCAATACAAGAACCACATATTTAATGTGTATATTTAGTCACTATTAGATTTGTAGATAGTCATTGGATTAAATCAAGGGAGAGAATTTTGCCCATGAGAAGACAAGAGATTTCAAATAAAGCTGAAAAATCCTGTTACAACTGAGTTTTGTTCAAGTACAGGTGTAGTATATCCTATTAAAGTGGGTAGTTGAAGTGATGGAAATAGATGCTATGTTGCATTTGTTGTGTAAATATACTCTCAGTATTCTTTAGAGGTCAATAGATAAGAAGGAAATACATTCAAGGTGTCATCTATGCCATTGATACAGGAGGCCTCCCTTATCCACAGTTTTGCTTTCCGTTACTCACTGTTAACTGCTCCAACAATAGGTGACTACAGTAAAATAAGATTCTGTGAGAGAGAGAGCATGTTCACATAATTTTTATTATAGTAGATCATTTATAATTTTTGTTTTATTTTTTTTTAGTCTATTACTGTGCCTAATTTATAAATTAAACTTTATCATAGGTATCTATGTACAGGAAAAAGTGTAGTATATATATGCTATGCTTATATATAGTATATACTATGCTTAACCTCTGTCTTCTTTTCCTTTCCTTTCTTTTCCTTTCTTCCTTTCTTCCCTCCTTCCTTCCCTCCCTCCCTCCCTCCTTCCTTCTTTCCTTCCTTCCTTCCTTTCTTCCTTTCCTCCCTCCTTTCTTTTCTCCTTTCTTTTCTCTTTTTTCTTTTCTCTTTTCGAGACAGTCTCGCTCTGTCTCCCCCCTCCCCCTCCCCTCCCTCCCCTCCCCCCTCCCCCTCCCGCCTTCCCCCTCCCCCTTCCCTGCCCCTCCCGCCTCCCCTCCCCTCCTACCTTCCCCCTCCCCCTCCCCCCTCCCCTCTCCCCTCCCCCCCGCCTCCCCCTCCCCCTCCCCTCCCCTCCCCTCCCTTCCCTTCCCCTGCAGTTTTTTTGTGTGTTTGCTTTTGAGACAAGGTCTCGTTCTATCGCCCAGGCTGGAGTGCAGTGGCACAGTAATAGGTTACTGCAGCCTCTAGCTCTTGGGCACAAGCAATCCTGCCTCAGCCTCCTGAGTAGCTGGGACTACAGGTGCGTGCCATCATGCCCAGCTGGTTTTTGCATTTTTTTTTTTGTAGAGATGGGGTCTCAACTATGTTGCCTAGGCTGGTCTCAAGCTCCTAGGCTCAACCAAGCATCCCACCTTGGCCTCTCAAAGTGCTGGGATTACAGGTGTGAGCCACTGCGCCAGGCATTGTCTGCAGTTTTAGGCATCCACTGGGGTTCTTGGAATGTATCCCTCAAAGATAAGGGGGAACTACTGTACTTAATAGCTACTTAGGGACTTCCCAAGACTAAGCACTATGCTGAATGATATCATACTTTACACTTTCTAACCCTTACAGCATTATGTTCTAAAACTGGAAATAGTACAAGAGGGTAAGTATGGCCTCTGCCCAAACTGTCCTGAAATGACATGTATTCCCCTACGTTGTACAGGCCTTCCTGTGACCATGCTATCTCAAGGCTATTTTGTATTATTTCTTTTATAGCATCTTGTTTGTTGCATTAATAGAATTCTACATAGTTTGTAATTACTATTTGTTTACTTTTACATTTCTGACTTAACTACTAGAATATAAGGTTGAGGAAGATAATGTCTGTTAACATTCACCATTAAATCCCCAGTACCTACCACAGTGCTTATCAAAACATATTAGACACTTAATAAATATTTGTTGAAAGAATAAATATTAATGAGTCCTGCCAGATGGTATTATCTACATTTTCAACAATCCATGGCTCAGAGAAGTTAAGTATATTGCCCTCAAATCACATAATTAATACATAACATTATGTATTAATGTGCTGTTCTTCAGTGGGCTATACAATAGTAGTATAGTGTTCCTTTTTAACTACTGAATTTTAATAAGAGTTAAGGGTATCTCATAACATGGCAGAATATAGTTAAAATCCAGGTGATCTTCTGTATTTTAGTTAAACCACTTAGGTCATATTGTCTTTAAAAAATTCTGCTACTGTAAAAGGGAATTAAATGGTCACCTTTTTGGGATTTTGTGTTTACAGGTAAAATTTATGAAGACCATTCCTGGTACAGCACTGGTAGAAATGGGTGATGAGTATGCTGTAGAAAGAGCTGTCACACACCTTAATAATGTCAAATTATTTGGGAAAAGACTTAATGTTTGGTAATTATCTATCTTAAATGATAAATTTTTAAAAATATTTTTAAATCTTTATCCTTTTTTATTAGAGACATTAATGTCAACTTGAGAATATTTTAATGTAACTGAGGGCACATCTTAAACAACAGCTGTAGTATTGTTATTTTAGATAAGGATTAGGGTCATATCACTGAGATTTTGCTTAGCTATACCTGTTTTTTAGTTTTATGATGATAAAACATGTTAAAATGGGCAAGTTTTTATGTTAAAGTTTTCTAATATGAGAATATATTTAATAGATTTTCTTTCTAATTGATGTCTAAACTACAAGAGTGATTGATTATAACCCAAACTAAATCCTCTATTTAAATAGCTCTATGTATGCCTTTTTTGGTTAAGATTTATGCAAGCAAAATATATCAGCATTCTGAGACTACTTGCTGCTTTTTATCTAACAAAGTACTTTTGTATGTCTTTTCTTTCCAATCTTTAGCGTGTCTAAACAACATTCAGTTGTTCCAAGTCAAATATTTGAGCTGGAGGATGGTACGAGTAGCTACAAAGATTTTGCAATGAGCAAAAATAATCGCTTTACAAGTGCTGGCCAAGCATCTAAGAATATAATCCAGCCACCCTCCTGTGTTTTGCATTATTATAATGTTCCATTGTGTGTCACAGAGGAGACCTTCACAAAGGTAGGCACTGAAATACAAATGTGTATAGAATGTTGCCATTTCCTATTTTAAAATCTGTTTTGGCTTCATTTGGAAGTCGTCTTGCTCATTCTTTTGCTTTTGATATTATTAGTATTTTATTTACTTGGTACGGATAATTTATTCTTTGACCGTTGTACTTTTCTGGCCTCCATTCCTCGATTGGTCTTTGTTGATGTGTGGTTCAGTCCTTTTGAGAGTTGGAATTAGAATGAGGTCGTCTTACTCCTGCATTCAGAAAGTTATTTAAAGACATTCATGTCTTTAAATCTCACCCACAACAAAATTTTATCCATATTGTTTCCCCTAACTTAGAAAATGCTAAGTAAGAATTGTAAGAAATGCTTCAGATAAATGATTTTCTGGAACTCTACTCCCTACCTTAAGCACTAGATAAATCCTGGTCAACTCTGAGAATATGTATTTTAGTTAACGGTGATTTTATTGTACGGCACTAAGTTACTTAACATAATTTATAGAATTTTACTGTTTTTAATTGATTTTCTCGTACAACTTGAGAAAGTATGTAAAAACATACTTGATTTAATCCATTCATTCCAGAATTGAAACTTAAATTCTGCCATGAAGTTTACTTTCTGTAATAATGGGATATTATTTTGGCTATATTTTTAATGAAGTTTTACTTTCTTTGGCAGTTGTGTAATGACCATGAAGTTCTTACATTTATCAAATATAAAGTGTTTGATGCAAAACGTAAGTGAACAGTCCCTCTTTTAAAGTTTTCTGGTTAAGTTGGTGATAAGCAAGTAATAATAACTGAGTTTGTGTTTTTTTGTTTTAGCTTCAGCCAAAACACTTTCTGGGCTATTAGAATGGGAGTGTAAAACTGATGCAGTAGAAGCCCTGACGGCACTGAATCACTATCAGATAAGAGTCCCGAGTAAGTTACCTTCACAGAACATTCATGGTGATATAAAAATAACAGTTAATAGGCTTCTTAAAAAATAACAGATAAATACGAAAACAAAAGGCATATTAATTCCTGTATTAGTTATCTATTGCTGTACAACAAATTGCCATACAATTTAGCATCTTAAAACAGCAAACATTTATTATCTTACTGTTTCTGAGGGTTAGTATTTTGGGTGCATTTCAGCTGGGTGATTCAGGCTTAGGATCTCTCATGAAGTTGGCAGTCAAACTGTTATCTAAGTCTGCAGTAATCTCAGGGCTTGACTGAAGCCAGAAGATCCACCCCCAGGCGCACTCATGTTGTTGTGTGCAGGCTCAGTCAAGCCACATTGGCCTTTTCATGGTAGCTGACTTCTCTCTGAGTGATCCAAGAGATAAATCAAACATTGGAAGTGGCATACCATCACTTAACATTACAATTTTTTTGGTCACAGAGACCAAACATAGTACAGTGAGTGTGAGAGGGGACTATACAAGGTGGGAGTACCAGGAGGTTGGAATCACCTTCAAGCTATAACTTCCACAATCCCTATTGATCATTTTAGAGGAAAGCAATACATGCATATGGTTAGAAAACTCAGACAGTACATAAAGGTACAAAATGAAAAGTTAAAGCTTTCTACAACCTCGAACCTTTTGTCTCATTCTTTTTTTCTTCCCTAGTGTGTATATATAATTATATATATTTTTAAAACTTGGCCGGGCCCTGTGGCTCACACCTGTAATTCCAGCACTTGGGGAGACTGAGGCAGGCGGATCGTCTGAGGTCAGGAGTTTGAGACCAGCCTGGCCAACATGGCGAAACCCTGTCTCTACTAAAAATACAAAAAAAAAAAAAAAAAAAAAAAATTAACCCGGTGTGGTGGCACACACTTGTAGTTTCAGCTACTTGGGAGGCTGAGGCAGGAGAATTGCTTGAACCCAGGAGGTGAGGTTGCAGTGAGCCGAGATCACGCCATTGCCCTCCAACTTGGGCAACAGAGCAAGACTCCGTCTCAAAAAAATAAAATAGAAAAACAAAATGATTCTTCTGTACATACTTGCCTATGTCTTGCTGTTTTCACTTAATATATCTTGGAGCTATTTCTATATTACCATATTCAAAGCTGCTTTTTTAAAGCATTTTCAGGATAGCTATTTATAATTGAGATGTATCACAGTTTTGTCTTATTTACTGTATCTCCCCACTGATGAACACTCTGGTTGCTTCTGTTTGTTTTTATCTTTTATTGTAATATAATATAAACATCCTTATAGTTGCATTTTTTTATTTTTAAATTTTTTTTAGTTTTTAATTTTTTTTTTTTTTTTTTTTTAAATAGAGACAAGGTCTCACTGTGTTGCCCAGGCTGGTCTTGAAATCCTGAGCTCTGCCTCAGCCTCCTAAAGTGCTAGGATTACAGACGTGAGCAACCACGACTGATCAATAGTTGCACTTTCTAATGTGTGTTTTTAGGACAGTTTTTCAGTAGTGTAGGACATGAAGATTTATAGTTAGGTAAAATGTTGCTAGATTGTACTTTATAAAGGTTGCACCAGTTTACATTACCACCTGTGGTATATGAAAATGTTCATTGCTCAGCACTCTTAGCAACACTGAGTGTTGTCAGATACTCAATTTTTACCAGTATGATAGATTAAAAATGGTATTCTGTTTTAATTTGTGTCAAGTGAAATTGTTACCGCTTGTTTATTGTCTCCATTATACTAACAATGGCCTCTTTTTTTTTTTTGAGACGAGTCTCACTCTGTCCCCCAGACTGTAGTGCAGTGGCACAATCTCAGCTCACTACAACCTCTGCCTCCCAGGTTCAAGCAATTCTCCTGCCTCAGCTTTCCAAGTAGCTGGGATTATAGTCACCTGCCACCACACCCAGCTAATTTTTGTATTTTTGGTAGAGACGGGGTTTCACCATGTTGGCCAGGCTCGTCTCAAACTCCTGGACTTCATGATCCGCCCACCTCGGCCTCCTGAAGTGCTGGGATTACAGGCATGAGAAAACTCAAGTTTAATTTTTGAAACTTTGTGCTGTGTAATTTACTTTGATCCTGGATCTAAAGGGTATTTAAATAATAGGGGAACCTTATTGGGTGTGGTGATGAATGATGGTTTAAAAAAGAGAAAAAAAACCACTGAATGATTTATGGGTGGAATAACATCTGAAATTTGCTTTGAAATATTCTGGCTTTCAAAACTATGTGTGAAGGGTAGGTAGATAAAGTAAGACAGCCAAATATTGACAATTACTGAAGCTGAGTGATAGGTATGTGGGGATTCATTAAACCTATCTATATTTTTGTGTATGTTTGAAAATTCCTTAATAAAAAGTAAGAAACACTTTATTTTTTTTTGAGACAGGGTCTTGCTCATGTCCTAGCCTGGAATGCAGTGGTGCAATCACAGCCTACTGCAGCCTCAACTTCCCTGAGCTCAAGTGAGCCTCCCACCTCAGCCTCCCAAATAGCTGGGGCTACAGGCGTGCAACACTACGCCCAGCTTATTGATGTATATTTATTTAAAAAAATTTTTTAGATGGGGGGTCCTGCTGTATTGCCTAGGCTGGTGGTCTTGAACTCCTGGCCTCAAGCAATCCTCTGGCCTCAGCCTCCCAAGTTGCTGGGATTATAGGCACAAGCCACAATGTCGCCTTTCTTCTCATTTTACTTTTAGTTTAAAAAAAAAAAGGGAAATGTTATTAAGTAGTGAGTCAGGCTTAATTTTTGAGAGAAAGTTTTAAAAAGCTTTAAAGTTATATGAAATACATTAGAGATAGTATATAAATTGTAAACTATTTGGAGATAGGGACAGTTATGTATGTTTTTATCCTTCGCAGTGTCTTGTACACACTTGTTGATGCATATGCTTTTCCCCTTACAGGAATTTTTTTTCTTTAATGAACTACAGCTTTTAATACTAAAATTGTGATACATTAAGATAGCAAAACCGGTTCTTTGCTTTGGTTTCTTATATATACAGTTGAGGAAAAGCTATTTTCTGCCTGGTCTGAAAAATTAAAGGAAAGAAAAATTTGCAAAGTAGAAATATTTTTGTGAAGTATACCCAATTTTTTTTTTCCAGTAATTTCAAAACTTACATGCCCCATTGATGAAGAGAGATTTAATACTAGATTTCCTGGAACCTTTTGGGATCACGGATGTCTTCATGTACATTCCAGCTTTGTCCTACTTCCCAAACTGTATTTGAATTTGAATTGACTTTTTTTTTTTTTTTTTTTTTTTTTTGAGGCGGAGTCTCGCTCTGTCGCCTAGGCTGGAGCGATCTCTGCTCACTGCAAGCTCTGCCTCCTGGGTTCATGCCATTCTTCTGCCTCAGCCTCCCGAGTAGCTGGGACTACAGGCGCCTGCCACCATGACCGGCTAATTTTTTGTATTTTTAGTAGAGATAGGGTTTCAGCGTGTTAGCCAGGATGGTCTCGATCTCCTGACCTCGTGATCCGCCCACTTCGGCCTCCCAAAGTGCTGGGATTACAAGCGTGAGCCACTGCGCCTGGCCTGAATTGACTTTTATAGAGAGTTAACTGCTGGCAGTATTTTTGCAATGTGAACTTTGCTGCTTAATCCTGATACTATTTATTCTTTTTTTTGTTTTGTTTTGTTTTTTTGAGACTGAGTCTTGCTCGGTCCCTCAGGCTAGAGTGCAGGCTGGAGTGCAGCGGCCTGATAATCAGCTCACTGCAAGCTCCGCCTCCCCGGTTCACACCATTCTCCTGCCTCAGCCTCCTGAGTGGCTGGGACTACAGGCGCCCGCCACCATGCCCGGCTAGTTTTTTTGTATTTTTTGTAGAGACGGGATTTCACCATGTTAGCCAGGATGGTCTTGATCTCCCAACCTCATGATCCACCCGTCTTGGCCTCCCAGGCGTGAGCCACCACGCCCGGCCGATACTGTTTATTCTTTAATGATCAGTTCACTAAAAAAATTTGAGTGCCGGACAGTGTTGAGAACAATAGAAATGTAGCAGTCAATAAAGTCTACCTTCATGAGCTTACCTTCCAGTAAATATGAATAAAAATCTTCCCCTTACCTTACTTAGAAATTTTACTTTTTTTTTTTTTTTTTGAGACGGAGTCTCACTCTGTCACCCCACTCTGTCACCCAGGCTGGAGTGCAGTGGTACAATCTCGGCTCGCTGCAACTTCCATCTCCCACCCAGGTTCATGCAGTTCTGCCTCAGCCTCCAGAGTAGCTGGGACTATAGTCGCACACCACCACACCAAGCTAACTTTTGTATTTTTAGTAGAGAGGGGTTTCGCCTTACTAGCCAGGCTAGTCTCGAACTCCTGACTTCAGGTGAGCCACCAAGTCTGGTCAGTTTTACTTCTTTATATTCCTGCTTTATATTCACCATATTCTTTATATTTAGTATAAAAAGGTGAAATAATTTACTCTGGTACTTCAAAGTGATATTGAAAGTTTGATGAAGTGAAATATTAACTCTGTTTTTTACTTTTTACAGATGGTTCCAATCCCTATACATTGAAGCTTTGCTTTTCTACATCATCCCATTTATAAGAAGAGAAGAGCATGTTAGAATTTATGTTCACCTTTATTACAATTTCAAAGCTACACTTCATTAAAAAACTAAAATGGTTGATCTCATGTTGCCTTGCTTACTTTAAGATCCTGTTCTGTAATAAACATATTTTGCCTTGAGTAAATTTGTTGTAAACTTAAATATTGTTTTCATTTTAAGATAGAATATCATAATGTAGACTATCTACAGCTTCATTGTAGATTATACAGATATATAATTTCTAACCTTATTACTGTAATTTTTCTTCCACAGTAAAAATATATTTGCATTCTTAATGCTAATTATCTGCAAGTATTTTTTCATTGTGTAAGAGATTAATGCAGGTGAAAGTATTGCATTTTAATATAGAATTCCTATTATATGTTTAGATGTTTAAGTATGTTGCAGTTACTCATATTAAACATAACTTTGTATTTATTTAATCAAGTTTGAGAATAACATTACATATGTTGAATTTTAAGTACTACAGATTTAACTGATTTTATATTTCTGAAAGGCTAACAGACATGGATACACTTGTACAGTATGCATTCAAACTTATTTAAATTGGTGTATTTTTTTTTAAGTCAGTGTCCATTTGTATTGACATGCCTCTCTGTTTCTAGTCCAGTTTGGAGATTTTATAAACTTATAACAATGAGTTAATGTGTTCATTCATTTTCATTTGTTGCATGTGACTTAAATACAGCTAGTATTTGGCATTGAGATTTTAATAGAGGTTATAATTAACGGTTCCTCTTATAGATAATAATCTGGGATCTATGGGTGGGCTTCAGAGAATCTGTGTACCCCCTAAAATTGTATGTAGAATTTTGGATATTTACATTTTTATTTTTTACTCTTGAATCCATCAGTAATATGTATTTTTCTATATGGTACAAGATTTAAGGATCTAATTTTATTTTTATTCCAAACAGATAGCTATTTGTCTCAATACCATTTATTAAACATTCTTTCTCCCACTGGATCTGCTTTTTTTTTTTTTCTTTTTAAAATAATAGATTTTATACCTAGGCAAGTAAGATTTAAGGACCAAACGTGGTATTAAGAGACTATAGCACGATTGTTATCAAGTTCATAGCTTTTTTACAATAGAAAAACTGATGTGGCCATTTTGTTTTCATCTTTAAAAGAAGGGAGAATATGTGTCATCTACCTAGAATAACTGATATCAATAGTTGGTAATAGCAGTTTTGTAATCCTGACACTTTTAAACAAATTTGTAAATGCAAGTTCCATTTAGATCTTTTGTAAAGACTTTATTTTAAATTTTAATATAAAAGTCCTTTTATAAATAAGGCACGTGTTTACAGTTTTAGAGCTGTTTAATAGAAAGTTTAGATGGAAACTAAACACACATTAACGTTTATTTCCCCTCATTTTGATGGCAGTGGACCAGCATTTCCTCTAAAGATAAAGAAAAAATTAAATTTTAACCTAGAAGTATTTTAGACCCTTATCACAGAACCCAGTAAGTTATGCCAAGGGTAACTGTGTGAACTGTGTTCGATACTGGGCTATGTATGTTTCTTACTCGTTGCCAATTTAATACCTAAGTTTATCTAACTTTACAATAAACAAAGCTTTTTTCCCCCTATAAATACTTTTCTACCTCTGTTGAAAAATTGAAATGCCTTAATTTTGGTTTATGTAATAGTTGTCTACTTTCTTTCCTCCTCTGAAAATTAATGTAGGTTCTCAGAATTACAGACTTTTTAATGCCTAAGATATTAAGAAATAAACCTGTAGGTATTGGCAGGGCTTATTTCATTTAGATTTTAATTAGTTTTGACTTGTAGAAATGATTTTTATCTGTAAGGCTCTCTCTCTACCAAAATAAGTGAATTCTTTGGGAGTAAACTGGTTGGTAAGTTGGGCCTTGCTGATAGATGTATGCACTGGTGCGTAAGCCCTATGCTGCTGCTGTCACTAATGTTTTTGATAGTTTACTTAGGGATGACTGCTGTTAATGAAGTTTGCTTTGTGAATACTCCTTCTTTCCTTAGCCTTGGCAACATTCTTCTCTGAGCTATCTTTATGCTTTTAGAAGAACAAGAAAAATCAGATTTAAGAGCTATAAAGAAATAATACTAGCTTTGAGTTTCTTTAAAAAAAATACTGAAATCCCATCTCTGTATCCAAATCCTACTACGTATTTGATAATAAATCTGCCAAACTGAGTTATGGAATATGAGCTGCCTTTTAAAAATCCCTGTTCTGCTAAAGGTGTTGCTTCACCAAATAAAAATATTTGCAACTGTAGCCAACATGAGACTTTGCAAACATCCTAGTGATTTGGTTGACTCAACTATGTCTTGAACAGAATTGAGAAGAGGGGAAAAAATGACTAAATGGGGTCAGTTGTTTCATGTTTTCTTTACAGATAGGCTGCTAGGGAACTGCAAAGTAGCTGTCAGTGATACTCTTTCTGGAATACAGAAATTTTGAGTGGAGGACATTCTCACATACTTAGGAATCTGAAGCACAAGGAGTTTTGCTTCTCTTAAAGGTAACGAAAGTGCTTGTAAGATAACAGCGATGAACTTCCTATCTCCATGTGGTTGTTTGGTCTAAGAGACTTTTAGTCCACTGAGGGTTCGTGTGAAGAGTAGCAGGCCTTTGTCTTCATAGTACTGCAGCTCTGCTCATGATGATTTTCAGTGTCAACCAAAAAGTAAGTGAATGTGCAGGCATGAATACTATTTAAACCAAATAAATTATTTGGGATATTAAATCGCGGATATTTTGGATTTTAAATAGTGGATATTTAATCCATAATATCGTTGCGTTTGCCTAAAACCTAACATTTTCATCAAATGGATTCAAGTGTTAATTAAAACCTAATATATTTTATTTAGCAAAATACCATCTTCTAGGGATCTTAGTTCTAATGTTTTTTGAACTTGAACAAATAAAATGGACTTTGCTTTACTAGTTACTTTCATAGAAAGCCCTTCATTCGAGGGAACACTTGAAATTCTCTGGGTTTTAATTTACAAATGAGGAAGCTAGTAATGTTGGATATTGTTTTCTCTATCCTCCATTCCACCCTCCCCTATTTTTTTAGCAGTAATCAAGGTTTGAGTGAGCCTTATTGACTTAGCCTCATCACTCTAACTCAGTACCTCTTAATAAGGGTGGCAGGTCTTCCTAGAGGGGTATTTTGACAGTTTGTAGGGGTGTTTTTTCAGTGTTTAGGGGACACTGCAAACAATTCGATGGGTAGGACCAGGAATTATTCCTTGTCCTACATGACTTTCCGATTTCTTATCAGATATTCAAATAGGTAAAAAACCTGTTTATAATGACCTGATCCTAGAGTCTGACTTTTTAATATATTAATGCAAAATATTTTTGTGTGGTTTTAATATGCAGTACACTGAATTTTTAGCAATACAACTACCTTATAAACCAAGGAAATAATGTTTAGAATGCTTTCAAGAGTTGTTTGCCATTTTGGAAAATTAAATCATCAACGTATTGTTGGGATTGTCATTATAATACACAAGGGTCAGTTTTCATTTGTCACATTCATCTCTGTATTCTATTGTAGCCATGCCTGAGCATTTATGTATTACAACATATATTTTATCATAAATTTTATTTCTCCCTTAACAATTAGAGTTTTATTTGGTTTTTCTTTAAGCTGTGTGTGTCTGGGTGTAGGTAGGTGTTATCTAGGAATTTTATTTCAGCATAGTAAAAGGATATCAGATTGGGTGGGGAACCATTGTTGTAAACAAGGTAATAGTCTGATTCTGTGTTGAACAGGTAACCTAGGCTGATCCAAAGAGAATGACACCTAGGATTTGTTGACGAATGGATGAGGAAGTGCTCTCGCTAAGGAGTGTGGTCTGCTTGTGTAAGGTTAGGCCTGGGACTGTTAGAGCCATTTTGCTGTCTTGAGGGAAACTAGCTAGTAGAGAAAAATTGAATACACAGTGGAAACCACCTTGAGCATAGGCTTATTGGGTATTTTGTGCACAATACACCCATCTTCAGAGTTCTCTTTTGAGTTTGAAAACACAACCTATGTATTTTAAGGGTCTCCATTTGCCTAAATCTCATCTTTAGCAGTTTAATCTACAAACAACACAATAAAATGAAAGCACTGACAATTGTTTGACAAAAGGCACTATTTTAAACATGATATATCTTTGTCTTTTTGCCAACTATAGGCTTTATTTTTTGGTAACTCTAAACTTTTTGGTTTGTAGAGGTGGGGGTCTCACCATGTTGCCCCGGCTGGTCTTTAACTCCTGGCCTCAAATGATCCTCCGCTTTAGCCTCCCAAAGTGTTGGAATTACAGGCGTGAGACTACCTTGTACTCTTTGTCAGGTACCACAAAGTTTAGACATAGATGTGTCAGGTACCACAAAGTTTAGACATAGATGTAATATTTATGGACACTTACTGAAAGTATTGTGTGTAAATTTGTTAATGGCTCTTTTAAGGGTTTCTAAAACTTAATGGACAAAAATTACATATATGGGTATAATGTATACATTATGAAATGGCTCAGTCAAGTTAACATCCACTATGTCACATACTTTTGTAGTGAGAACATTTAAAATAGACTCTAGGGTCATTTAATTTTTAAGAGCAGAAAGCTTATTTATATGTAACTTAGAAATCTCTACTGTATACGTTAAACCCTTGTAAGTGATACAGAACTGCTAATAAAGTAAAAGCACTGAATTAGTGGCAATCTCTGATTTGAAAACTTTCACACCTCCCTTGTGGGGTGACACAGTAATCAGGCTAAGCTGCAGAGCAACCTTGAAACGTTTGCTTTGAGTTGAGTTGATAATTATAATCTGGTCATCATTTATTTTTTCCTTTTTTTTCTCCCCAGTAATACCAAAAGAAATTAAGAAGCAATGTTATTTTTTTTTTTTCTGGGAAGTAATCATAGTTTATTGAGAGCCCGGAAAATCAGTAAATGGCCTTAAAGATTTAGATTGTTACCATAATTTTAGTATAGCGTATTAAATAACAGTACCGGTGGGGTAGCTTGGGAGTGTGAAACTTGATTACAACTTAGGATTGTGAGGTTTAGGTTATTAAGGTGATTTTTGGATGTGACTTTATGTGAAATAACCTTTTCTTAGGAGAGTAGGGGAAGAAAAACAAGGTAGATAATGCCTGTGCTGCACAGTGATATTTAGCAGTGCTTCTCAACAGTTAGGAACATTTTATTTTGTGGGGAGATGATTTCATGACTAACAAAAAGGATCATGTGGGGAACTTTTAAAAAATACTGATATCCCAGATAATCTGCAGAATCTGACTGACTTGGACTATGTGTGTATATATTCAAAGCAAATTTTGTTCATTGATTTCCATTTAAAATATCTGATTTTTGATGTCACAAAGCATGAATGTAAAGTAGATAATATTTTTATTGCAACTTAAAAATTCAAATAATGACAATTTTAAACCAAAAAACCTTCAGTTTCTACAAAAACCATTTCACTAGTGTCACTTGCAACCATTTGGCTTCATGGATATTTCAGGCATTTATTCTAGCTTCTATCAAGTGCACTTAGTATGCCAGACAATACAAGTTCAGGCAGATGGTTAGCTTTAAAAAGTCAGTAGGTTCATTTGAGCTTAGAAGGGAAGTAATGGAAAAATGGCTAAACCTTCTTTCTAAATACGAGGCAGACTATTTCCTAAATCCTTAAGAGGAACTGAAAATTGATTAATGAGTCTTTAGTCTTTGGGTAATATAATCTAAATCTTTTAGCTTTTATGAATTCTACTATAAGATGAAAAAATAAGGTCAAGGAATGATCAGCACTTGTGGTGGGGGTGCGAAGGCTGTATAATCATTCCATTTCACAAACTGGGGGTGAGAGGCCCAGATTTTTGTGATCTGCCCAAGTTTAACAAAATAAACGGGGATATAATGACTTGAATCCAGATGTTAATGCTCAAAATCTTACACAAAAGCCCTTTTGAGTCATTGAAATAATTGGCTTTTCTCAGTGAGTAGAAGTATAAGCTGTAGTAGCCTAAGCAATGTTATCTGCTTTGGTAAATGATTAGAAAGCAAAATTCTGGTTGCCAGCTGGGGGTAATGGAGGTGTGATTGTTATTGGCTACAAGATATATTTTGGGTGATCAGAATGTTCTGATGGTTGTACACCTTGTGAATGCACTAAATGCCACTGAATTGTATACTTTAAAAAGGTTAAAATAGTAATTTTATATTACTACAGTAACAGTAGGTCTAGCCCACCAATCCTTTAGTTTAAATAAGGGCTAATATGGGTCTACAAGGCTTAAATGTAGCCGGTTAGATACATTTGGGGAGGTGTGTAGGGAGAATCTGTGAGTTAGTTCACTCCCACACCAGCAGGAGATGGGATCCTGAGTTTGGTTTATGGTTGTATTGCTAGGGTGGCTGGCTGCTTCTGGTCACCTTGGACTATGGGACAAGAGATTAGAGCCAGGGAAGAGAGCCCACTGAGGTCTTGTGCACAGTGACAGAAAAGAGGATTTGAGGGTGAGGAAGGGATGATTCCATGAATAGAAAATAGAATTTGTGTTCCGAAGCCTGAGTAATGCTCTGGTTGCTTAGTTTACAGACT